CTGCATAGTGTTTGAAGCTGCTGGTTTCGATACGTGTTTTCTCCAGCTTATCTATCTGCGTATAGATCGATTCCAGTGATTTATTATTGGTGGCGCGGTAGTAATTACCTCCCGTTTCCTTCGCGATCTTCCGAAGTAATACTTCATCGATCTGCACCGGCATCATAATCTTCTGCGTGCCAAAAGGCGTTTGTTGCGGATAGGGCGCTTCGCCCTGTGTACCCACCCCAATGGTATAAACACGGATCTTATAAGCCTTGGCAATCTCGAGCGCCAGTTCCGGCCCTACCTTACCCACATTGTTTACACCGTCTGTCAGCAGGATGGCTACGCGGCTTCTTCCCTTTGTATTGCGCAACCGGTCCACGGCAGTTGCGAGGCCGTCACCGATGGCGGTGCCATCAACCAGCACACCACTTTCTACAGCGGCAATCTGCTGCTTCAGTACATTATGATCAATGGTTACCGGGCATTGCGTAAAGCTTTCACCCGCAAAAACAACCAGCCCGATCCGGTCGCTGGGGCGGCGGTCTACAAATTCAGTGGCTACCTTTTTTGCCGCTTCAATACGATTGGGCTTAAAGTCTTCTGCAAGCATACTACCCGAAACGTCGAGCGACAGTACAATATCGATCCCGTCACTATCTATCGTCTCCGTAACATTGCTGGACTGCGGGCGGGCAAGGGCAATCGTCAGGAAAACAAGGGCAATCACACGCAGCACGGTAAGTACCGGGCGCATACGCACTTTAAATGAAGGCTTAAGCTGTGTAATACCGTCCAGTGTTGTCAGGCGGAAAGCAGCCGCCTGCTTACGGCGTTGTTTCCAGCCCAGCCACAGGATAAGGGGAATGAGTAATAGCAACCCAAAATAAAGCGGGTGTGCAAACGATAAGTGTTTCCAATCCATCAATGCTTTCATGCCTTCGCTGCGGTGGTTGACGGGTTTTCAATAATGACAGGGCGGGTAACGGTAACCAATTCCCTGGCCAGCTGCATCGCCGTTGTATGCTCAGTAGGAGTTGGTTGTGCCTTCGCAAACTTAGCCAGATCGGCAGTACGCAATATAGTACCAAGCTGT